CATATAGAATGGTTGGCTCGGCATCACTTGGTGATGAACTGATGTATGACAAGTTATATATTGTGAGAGCCCTTTGAGAGCGAGGGAGCAGTGTAAGGGCGCAGATAGATCATTACGGTCCGAAAAGAATGGCGTAGCCAGAAGTTACCAGGGGATCTGTCCGACGCTCAAACCTCAGGGGAAGGATGAGACGGATATACAATTATATGGTTACTGGTACCATCAGAATTGGAACTCTTCGCTTGCTGTTGAAGATGGGGACTGAGCACTTATTGGAGTGTCCAGAATGCTGTGATGTCAATTCTTAATTTAACATTGAACAACATTCAACATTGGAAATAAAAGTACGTAGGGCTGGAGAACTGGCCAGATAAAGTGAGACTTTCAGGCATGCTGTGACGATAGCGACGTTCTAGAAAGGCCCAGTTGATTGATGATGATCCAATAGAGATGCCAATGTTGTAAACGTTCAGCCATTCGAAGTTCATTTGTAGCATGACGTTGCAGAACCAACCCCAGCATTTTGTGGTTGTTTGGTACCAACACAAACTGATAAAATAAATCTACACTAACAAAGTATATCATTCTACTTACAAAATTGTACAAAAAAAACATAAGCTTCCTGTTTTATTAGCTAATTTTTAGTTTCTGAGTTTAAAGTTTTCATTCGTAAACTCCACTAACTACGGTCTGTCAGGCTGCTCTTTATGGCTGATGAAGGAATCATAAGTATTCTTTTGCAAAACCACATCTCCGTTTATGCTCTCGTGACGTGCAGGAAAGTGTGTCTAGTCTGGGTGATGTTAGACTATACCCGCACATCTATGTGTTACGATGGAGTTAAGTGTACAGGTTATCTGCGGTCGTTGCCGCAGTAGTCCGGTCAAGCGTGACGGGAGTTCGTGAGGGGAGATCAGATCTCAAAGGACATGTCTGGCTGGAGTGTCTGGATAATTTGCACAATTACATGCCTAACGGGCCCTGCATAATGAATCAGTTTATGCTTTCCTTATAAGGGCAGACGTTACGTTGCGTTGGAGTTTACAGATGAGCGGCGATATCTGCGCCCTTCAGACCAATAATATGATATTAGTGGTGTATATTTTGTCTTTATTATCAAGTTCTTAGTTGACTAGCGTATGCGACCAAGCCCTACCACAGTGCGATTTTGCTTTTATCAGCATGTATCAGTTCCTGTGTTGACACTCCTCGGTAACAAAAAATCTATCAAGAATTCGCATTCTCTTCATCCATCTCTTGTTTTCCCAGATCTTTCCTGTGGTCACATATTCCACTTTTTCTTCTTCCCATAACATGAACAAACAAATCATGACTGTCTCTGTCTGTTGCCTGTGATAAGCTGTCTTCGAGCTTTTCAACGTTTTGAAAACATAGGGGTTGCTCTTTCTGGCTGACGAAGGAATTCTAAGAATTCTTCTGTGAAACAACATCTCCATGGCCTCAAGAAATTGTTTGGCTTGTCTATTGATTGTCCAGGATTCCCAACAAGAATCAAGTTTTTCATAATTATCAGACAGTGCGATACATTTTCTTTCGAACAGGCTTATTTGGATTTCGATGACAGCACGTACCAATCCTACGGCAGCTACGAGGCAACCAGCGGTGACGGATCTCAAGAATCGACCGTTGTGTACAGCTACACTGACCTCTACTCCTACCAGGACAGGTGTTCTGAGAGTTACCAAAACCCAACCACCGCTAACTACCCAACATATTATACTGACTACAATACTGATTACAGCACCGGCTCTAGGGAACTCCAATAACTTCCGTGAGAGTTATTTGGACGCCATTGAGACCAATCTCGTTGTGGCAGATGAGCGAATCGAAGCTGCCAAAGATCTCGTCGAAAACCTGCAGTCTGATGACTAGACTGAATAGAGTCAGTTAGTGTCCCTGTTTTTCGGGAAATGAAAACAGAAAGACGCTGTTGGCATTCATTGAATCTTCGTTGAATAAATACGGTTGTCAGAAAGTCATTACTTGTTTGTTGTTAATGTTTGATTTTCATAACAGTTGTAGTCTTCTTCTTGTGCTTTTTATTCTGTAATGAAGCATAGATTCTAACCCGCTGAGAGAAAGGGAGAAAACAACTCAGAAAATATATACAGAGAGAGAGAGAGAGAGAGAGAGAGAGAGAGAGAGAGAGAGAGAGAGAGAGAGAGAGAGAGAGAGAGAGAGAGAGAGAGAGAGAGAGAGAGATGAATGGATAGGTAAAGTTATCGAGATTTACTGAAAGACTTGTGTGTGTGGTTTGTATGCTTGTGTTTGTGTCTGAGAGACAGTGAGAGATGTAGATAGAAGTAGAGAGAAGTAGAGAGGTAAGAGAAAAAGAGTATATGCGAAAGACAGACAGACAGGCAACAACAACAAAAACCATCGAAGGGTAAAAAGACCGAGAGTGCCGGTGATGTGACACAAAGAAAACATCGACGGGCGCAGCCTCTTCGGAATTTTTAAGGGCGAAGAGCTCAAGGGACCTAAGCTTTGTTTCAGCCACCAGTAATAAAAATCATGAATAATAGTGCTTAATTACAAATAAATATGATAATATATTTACCAGACAATAGGCAGTCAGTAAACAGATAGTGACAAGAGGACGTCTACACACACTTTATAAACAGATAGTGACGAGAGAACTTCTACACACACTTTATAAACAGGTAGTGACAAGAGACCTTCTACACACACTTTATAAACAGATAGTGACAAGAGAACTTCTACACACACTTTATAAACAGCTAGTGACAAGAGAACTTCTACACACACTTTAAAAACAGATAGTGACAAAAGAACTTCTACACACACTTTATAAACAGCTAGTGACAAGAGAACTTCTACACACACTTTATAAACAAATAGTGACAAGAGAACTTCTACACACACTTTTTAAACAAATAGTGACGAGAGAGCTTCTAAACACACTTTATAAACAGATAGGGACAAGAGAAGTTCTACACACACTCTATAAACAGATAGTGACAAGAGAAGTTCTACACACACTTTGAAAACAGATAGTGACAAGAGAACTTATACACACACTTTATAAACAGGTAGCGACAAGAGAACTTCTACACACACTTTAAAAACAAATAGTGACGAGAGAGCTTCTAAACACACTTTATAAACAGATAGTGACAAGAGAAGTTCTACGCACACTTTGAAAACAGATAGTGACAAGAGAACTTTTACACACACTTTATAAACAGCTAGTGACAAGAGACCTTCTACACACACTTTATAAACAAATAGTGACAAGAGAACTTCTACACACACTTTATAAACAAATAGTGACGAGAGAGCTTCTAAACACACTTTATAAACAGATAGGGAAAAGAGAAGTTCTACACACACTCTATAAACAGATAGTGACAAGAGAAGTTCTACACACACTTTGAAAACAGATAGTGACAAGAGAACTTATACACACACTTTATAAACAGGTAGCGACAAGAGAACTTCTACACACACTTTATAAACAAATAGTGACGAGAGAGCTTCTAAACACACTTTATAAACAGATAGTGACAAGAGAAGTTCTACACACACTTTGAAAACAGATAGTGACAAGAGAACTTTTACACACACTTTATAAACAGCTAGTGACAAGAGACCTTCTACACACACTTTATAAACAGGTAGTGACAAGAGACCTTCTACACACACTTTATAAACCGGTAGTGACAAGAGAACTTCTACACACACTTTATAAACAGTGACAAGAGAACTTATACACACACTTTAAGGCACTTAGCTCCCTTTTTCAACAAGGTACATCTGTGGACTCTCTGTGTTGTTTTTGGTTGGCACAGGAGTGGAGGCAGCTATGGGCTTACCCGTTAGCTATGAATCAAATATCGCACCGCTTGGTACGAGTCTGATCAAAGGCAAATCATATTTTTTATGTCAATGGAATTCTGGTGTATGGGGTAATGAGGAGGCTGATAGTCTGCGTGCAGCTTCTCATCTGGGTGGTGAGCTACCTTATAATGAAGCGGAAGTTGTGAAGGCTGTTTTGGATCACGTGGGCAGTCTAACAGAACAGACTGATTATCCATACATTGACAGATTTCCTCAAAAGGGAGTGGGGGTGTTTTGTGAGAACAAAAGGTAAAAAAGATATTCAACACTGCGGGCAAAACATAGTCTTACAGGCTGCAAAATGTTCCATTAGCATATCGATTCTTCGTTGTCTACCTAGCAGGTAGACGGGGCGCGTATAGGAATCTCCCAGTGCAAGGATGTTTATCATTCATTCATCCATACCTTTAAGCATTTTAGAGATGCACGAAATACATACAAGTCAGTTTTTTAAAAGTCATACATTTAAATCATCTTAGAGACAAAACACCTGGCGTTGAAATCATTTTAAAGATACATGTCAAATACTGAAATTTATTTAGTGATAAATTCATGCATTAAAGTCACTGAATTGATTTTAGAGACACGGCACTTTTGAAATCAGTTTTGAGATAAGTGGCACTACAGGAAGGAACATGATACGTTGAAGCTATTTTAGAGATAAATGTTATAAACATTATAGCCATTTCTGGATGAAATCCATTAATTGAAGTAATTTTAGAGATCATCATCATCATCATGTAGTAGGTCCTTTGCAGAAGGTCGCTCTCATCATGTCTGCCTGAAAGAAACTCGGTCTCTCGCCATATCTCCCGCCAGCTCTCCCGCCTCATGTATCTTAGAAATACACGACATAATTTGAAGCCATTATAGTGACTACACGAAGTCCAACATTCTTATTATTTTAGAGTTGAATCCATTGTATACAGTCGTAACTAGATGCATTTTAGATGTGAAGTCATATGCGGAAGTGATTTTACAGATGTATGACACACAGTGAAGTCACAACAACCTGTTCAGTTAAAGGTTCTTTGGTGGTACCCGAAACCTCAGTGAAATATTCCTTTCCGTATTCTTTACAAAAAGCTACAAGTGAATTCATTATTACTATTTGTTCTTCATCTGCTCTGCTGAGTGTTCTGTGACGAAGAAAGGGTTGAACTGACAGAAAAGATACCAGATCGTCTGCCATGTCCCAGAAGTAACTTGGCTTTGTGAAACAGATCCATGTAAAGTCCCAACACCCGTCGGTTACAGACAAATGCAATAAAAATGAGAAATCCCTGCGAAGTGTTGAGAATGGTGAACAGAATGCTGAGAACGTGAACTACAGTACAAGCGATGTTCGTTGGCAGGGAAAAAAACGAGCTGAGAATGGACGAGCTGAGACCGAAGATCCACGTGAACCCCATGACAGTTGACATTCTCACATACAGCATGACTTCTGAAGTATCCGTTCGTTTATGAACCGACGAGTTGCTGTTTCTCACACCTAGGCTTTTCTTGGCCATTTTAGCTGTTTTGCTAATACAGGCGATTGTTTTACCAAAGAAAATACAGTTAATGAAAAAGATTAGGAGAATGATAGCCCCAAACGCAATTAGAGCAGCTAATGGTTGGGTAATCCAGCATGTGTGAATTGTTTTCTCATCAGTGACTGATGTGTCGTTGCTGCTAGTGGCCGCTTCCTGTGAAGTTGTGATGTTGTCGTCACTAAAGTATAGTTCCTCGGAGGATATTGGTACAGACCCGTATCCAATGGAAACTCCACTAAAAAGACTAGTAAAATCTATGAACATACATAAAGAGACAATAAAGAGAGGCGCACCCCAAGCATAAAGCGCGTATCTGTAAAAGTATTTACGGGTTTCTCGGGCACGATTTTGGATGACCGGGTTTGTAAACGTTTTATAAACATCATAACTAACTACATTCATCCAGAAGTGAGCAGCCAAGAGCGTGTAGTGCAGGCTGACCGCAACAAACTTGCATAGGCAGCTCTCGTTCTCTTCGATCCCGCTGGCAAAAATTATTTGAGTGACAAGAAGAGCGAAGGTCAAGTTCATCAAATTTAGCCCAGGTAAATTTCGCAGACCTCTAAACAAGATGTAAGTGATAAGCACACAGGCTAGTGCCGCAATGGACACGCGACCTAGCACAAGTGTCATGTAGCCTTCAACTTTAAGATAAACCTCAAAATCACTGCTACAGCTGTTGTCAATAGTTGTAACATACGAGTAAACTGTCATATTTCGAGTGGCAAATGTCGACGGCACACAAATTTGGATGCTTCCTGTTTTTTCGTCTGAAAAACGATACTGAAAAATATCGTACTGTTTATCTTCGAAGACGATGGATTTATTCTCTCCGGCGATATAATATTCATTCTTGTTCAAGTCGATCATGTCGCAGTCGTGTTCGCTGATTCGAGGCATGAAGCAGACAAAAGCGTACTGGATCATGTCTGTAAAGTTTGTCTGCCCAGCGTCGTTGCTGCCACTAACTACCAGGAACAGATCGAACATCCCAAACGGAATAAAAGAATTTGTTTTATTGTCAAACAAGACAGTCGCATTATCCATATCCACCAGCATGAATTCATCGTCATATACAAGATATTCCACACCCAATGGACAGAAAGCCATCTCTTCATTGTCCTCTGTAAGGTCATCCACTGCCACAACGTCCACGTCGTTTCCATTCAACTTCAGAGAGAACTGCTGCTCAAAAATCAAGCTATCCATTTTACTTAAAATATCTGAGGATCCCGCCTCGTTGGACTGTGAATCATCAGGGGGAACCAGAACAAACGAGATCCGCATGACCATACTCTGGTCAAGCAGCAACTGTAAACTCTGAGACTCTGATATCTGGAGACTGACCCTCTCGTGTTTCTCGTTCACTGGCTCAGAGATGTACATAACCGTGTCGTTAGCCGGGTACTTGAAGTGGTATCGGAAGAAATTAGCATACTTCGTGCTGACCTGTTTTCCTCTATACTTAAAGGAATGCTGGAACCATTTCTTGTTCGCGGCTAGTGTATGTCTGCTCGCATTTGCCAGTAAAGCACTCACTGGGTTTAAATTATATTTTGTTACAGGTTTGACTTTTCTAGCAAGCCCATTGCTTGTTCGACGTGGTCCATTTGTTTCATTAAAATCCTCCGCGTTGGCGAATGTAATGTTGATTGGTGATCTTGTGTAGAACTTGCGGCCTTCTAATGGTAACTTTATTCCGAGATTTATTGGTTCGACACCGGATTTGCTATCCGGCACGGTTATGTTCGTTCTAGTTCTATATCTGTCTTTTATGTCTTTATTTTTAGACAAATCTTTACCTGGCTTTGCTGGCCGACTGCGTTCTCTGTTCACGTCGATAAGTTTTGGTTTTGGCGATGTAGATATCCAATCGAACCCCTGATAACTACTCGAGGTCCCATTGTTAGGTGGATTCTCTTGTAGCAGCCTGCTATACTCTTCCTCCGTCAAAGGCCTTACTTGCAGAGCACTGCCACTAATAGAGCCAAGCTCGTAGGTAATGTTGACATCTTTAAGCCTCGCCTCGCTGATGTTCAGATAGCCTGTTGATTATGGAAGTACGAATAATTTTTAATCAGACAATCAAATAATGAGGCTCATGTTATTATGGTTGAAACCAAAACGCCATCCATGAATGACTGCGTATCGTCCACTAAAAGCTCAAGTCATCTATGATCTGGCAACATTGTAAAACGCCATCCGGTCAGAAGACATAAAGTAACCCGTCGCTTTGTTAAGCTAGTGAAACTGCACAGTTACGTCTGAAGTATGGAGTAAAATGTGAAGCTAATTATGTTTCAAACATCAGGAAAAGAGCTGCTGAGACAGCTGAATTAAACAGATAAGCTCATAAAGATCGATGGTTATCGAATTCAACATTATTTGTATCTACAATCCTACACACAGACATCGGTACTAGGATTTTCCTTCTCTGACGTTGGCAACAAGTTTACCATTCATCATCATGGGCGATCATGCCTAATGCCGATGGTCTGTAAAAAATATGATCACTCTTCCCATATAACCGATACGCCTAAAGGCAGGAAAAGGGATCTTTACTTATTAGGAATGTACCCATTATTATAAATGCAATTTAATAATTTAGTTTTTTTTTCAATTTTAAAATATCCCAAAAGCTTAAATTTCTTCCAGATTGATGTTATCTGGCCCGGGTGAATTTCCTTTTTTCATATGATGAGATGCATCCTCAACTTCTGAAGCCAATATTGGTGGGCATTCACTGTTGTCCTGCAAATATACTTCTGGTCAGTTACCATCACACAATTCCCCACAAGTATCATTTTAACGTGTCACTACACCAATATTTTTTTATTTACAACGTTAGACCAATTATTTTATAATGTAATTTGTAGGGGCATATTTTAATACATTTGCAGTCATTAGGTTTTAAAAAAAGCATAGTTGTCATGGCAATAGCCACCACCTTGGGGGGAAAATCACGTACTTAGAATCCTAATTTTTCAAATATAAACATAGGGGTTGAGGAATAGATGACTGATTCGTGAACTTCATTCAATCCTATGTTGAGGTACTCGTGTAGTTTTTTACTTTAAAGATGTTTCTAAATATTTTTCTTACAATGTTAAAGTGTAGGTTTGTTCAAAAAGTCAAAAAAATGTAGTATCCTAAGGCAATAATTAAAATATATATGATGGTGCATATTATAGTAGTGGGAGGCCCCATGGTCTAGCAGCTAGACGCTCGCCTCGGATCGGATGATCGTGGGTTCGGTTCCTGACGGGGGCCGGACTTTTTTTTCGAAAATAACCTTGGCTTTCGGGTCGACCCAGCCTTGCGTTGGTACCAGGTGCAGTCCTGTGAAGTAAAGTGTGCCGACTGGTCTATAAAAATATAGGTCTTGCCCTATATGCCCTATACGCCTGATGGCGTGGAAAAGGCTCCTTTACTTTAATTACTGACTGACTTACTTACTATAATATAAAAAGTAAAAGACCCCTATCCACACCTTTCAGGCGAATTGGATATATAGGGCTAGACCTATATTTTATAGACCAACGGTACTTGGTAGGTGATGAGGTCAGCATTACGCCGGCCGCCTTTACTTTCCCGGGACTGCACCCGGTACCCACCCTGGAAGCCAAGGTCATTTTTTGAAAAAAGTCTGGCTCCGCCAAGAAGCGAACCCACGACCTTCCTATCCGCGACGAGCGTCTAGCCGCTCGGCCAAGGCGACTCCCATATTATAGTAGTCATAATAATTTGAAAAAAAAAACAAAATTAGAAAGAAAATACTTACCTCTTTTTATAGCCTGTTGTCTCCCCTCCTCATCCTATCTCTTTCCCGCTCCCTCCTCACTTACGCTCTCACCATATCCCCTTTTCTCGACCTCTGCTTATCTCTACCTTTCACTCCTTCTCTCTTTTTATCCGTCCTTCTCTCTCTCTCTCTCTCTCCCTCCCTCTCTCTCCCTCTCTCTCTCTCTAAACATATATATATATATATATATATATATATATATTTATATATATATATTCAGATTCATCATTTCTGTGATTTTGTTTCTCTTACACCTTATGATGAATTACTACATACACAGCTGCAGAATACCTTGTGCGAATAAATATCTATAGTACGTTTCACTGACAATAATACCTATCCCCCCTCCAATCACTGAAAAAAAAAACACAGTTGTAGGCTGCTTTTAATATAAGCGCTACAACTTGTGGACATAAATATAATCATCTCTCGTCATCCCCTTGTAGGATGCAATTTTTTTTAAAGCCCCACCCTGGCTTTTGCTGGGGGTCCCCAAACATAACCGGACCATAAATATGGCTAACGGTTGAACGGGGTTTCTAGGACCTCTCCATGTGTGATCCTAATCCGCATGGTGGCACTTTGTGTCACCTGATGTTAATCGCTTTGTGTGATGACCTGGTGTGGTACAACTGATACGTACAAACATAATCATGAGAACTGCTTTATTTAATTAATTCTAAAATAAATTGTTCAGTATCATGAAAGACAATCTGAAGGACAGATAAACTAGCTTACAGACATATATGCAGGCAGGCACAAAGACAGACAAACAGGAAGACAAACAGGAAGACAGACATGCAAACAGAGTGTATTTTGAAATTGCTATTTCTAAAAGCTTACCTGCAATTTGCGGAACAATCTCTGGCTCCACGATTTGGTAGCGCAAAAGAAGAAACTCTCCAAAAGTGATATTTAACTGTAAGGTGACAATGTGCACCGTGCGAAGTTGTGATAACTCGGTTATATCCTGTTAATAAAATCATGAAGACATGTTACATTTGTTCAGTGTATTTCTCGTGACTTACACTCTGTCAGTGTTCTGGTTAGCAAAGAGAAACGTGGCCTGCTCGCAAGCACTGCTATAAGATAAATGTCTGTTTGGGGTAATTTAAGTCCGTAAGTGCTCCATACACATCTTCAGCAGCCAGAGCAGAGATCCAATGCCAATAGCAGTTTAAATATATTTCCTTTCCTTTACTCTGACTGTTAAGTGTCTGCCCTGATTCTTCAGTCACTCTCCTTTGCATTCTTCTTCTTCCTAGCGTTCACAGGCTGTAAACTACGATGATAAAACTGGTTGTTCGTCCACTTCTGGACTTTGGTTATGGTTCAGAACATGAATTTCTCGTAACATATCTAGAGTATTTGTGTGTAGACTGTGAGTTCCTCGCCTGTGAGGCAAATGCACTGCGACTGCGAAGAAAAAGCTTCAAATAAATCGCTAATTATGACATGCTTGTTAGGGGCACTCGGACTATTCATTGTCACACAAAATGAGGCACTGCAATCCTCATGGGGAATGTGAAGAAAATAATATACATAGGACCGAAACATGTTGACCCTGTGATCATGTTGCACAATCTTACTCGATGTGGCA